TTTTCTTTACGTGAGACAAATCTGTAAAGGGTTTTATATGTTAAAAGAGACACTCTGATTTTGACTCAGGTAGCAATGGGAAACTAGTGCATATGAGCCACTCCATGCTTCCAATGGAGAATGCGAGGCAGAATTCACCACAGAATTCCTGAATCATTGCAGTTTCTGGATTATTTTCAAAGGTATCACGCATGTAAAGTGTTTTACAGCAAACTATTCATAAGGTAATGAATGAGTCCGTTTAGCCCTAACCAAGAAATATGAATGCAGTAGAAAAAGGAATACTTCATCACCAGTCACCTGAACTATCAGACTACAGGGAATCAACAAGTACCCCCAGTCCATCCACAAGCCTTTTTCAGTGAGTTTGAAATCCCATATGCATTGAGATTAAATAATTTGGTGCAATCAAATGATAAGAAGAGTTATTGTGGTTTACAAATCTTGAGTTATATATTACTTGTTCATACTTATTCAACGGATCAGATGAAACAAGGTCATGATTAATGCTATGTAAATCCAGCCATATTGTAAATATGTATATTTTTTTTCATTTTTGCTTCTTATAATTTACCAGTCTATACTCATAAAACAGCAACATGTATCAAGAAATGCCAGAAGCTTTGACAATGCTGATTATATATTTCAGAAGTGGGGCTGAAATCAGTTGCCACCTCTGCTATCAAAACAGAGTTATTTGTTTTATGACAAAATTACACATATTTTTAAAATAGATAAAAAATGTGTAACAAGGCTAAACAGAAATTTAATCAAGCATGGAAATAGGTTCTTCAAATCCTATTTTAGGCAATTTTCCACCTAGTATCAAGTTTCTCTCTGAATAAAGAAGGAAAACTTGCTTCACTCTATATTAGCAGCCTTTACAAAAATCGTAACTGATTGTTACATCTAGCCAGCTCATAAACTCAAGAGTTTATTCTCACCCGCAGAAAAGTTTTTGCTTATGCTACAACCAGTGTTTCCCAACCTGGGCAACTTTAAGATGTCCAGATTTCAATTTCCAGAATTCCCCCATCAGCTGGCTAATTTTCAAGCTTTATTAAATTTCTGATTAGCCTTGTTAAAACATGGTTGACTGGCGAATTCTGGGAGTTGAAGTCCAGACATCATAAAGTTGCCAAGGTTGAGAAACACTACTTGATATACACAATCTAAAATACAGAATACCCTAGCAAGACTGAATTGTGTATTTTCCATACACATTTGTTAAAATCATTCTATTCTTGAGCAAGCTAAGGACATTCTTTCTATTTTCTACCCCCTGAAGAACATTCAAAATTAAAAACGTAATTCAGAATTCCACAGAAAGGTTTGTTTACAAAACATGGCTTACATAGACAGTGCTAAACAGTCAAAACCTTTGTTAAACTTTTTTCATATAGCAAAGAGCGAAGTATTAATGCATAAACTGTTATACCCTAACTTTCCAAGAACTGTAACATAATTTAGCAATAGACATGCAAGACTCTCTAAAGTTTGTTTCATACAAATATTTTAACAAAAGTTAATCAGAGTAACCCTGATCTAATGTACGTGTATAGTATATTTCTGAAACTTTTGAGTTTTCATAATCTAAACATGAGAACAGTATTTTATGAGCACATTATGAGCCATCTATTAAAAACATGAAAACAGTTTTAGATTGCATCATATATCCAAATCTTGAAAGAAATTGTATGATCCGCTGTGCGGATCTGGATGGGGAGGAACAGGCTTCGACTCAACACTTCCAAGACCGAGTGGCTGTGGATGCCGGCATCCCGATATAGCCAGCTGGCGCCATCGCTGGCTATTGGGGGCGAGTCATTGACGCCCACAGAGGGGGCTCGCAACTTGGGCGTCCTCCTGGACACACGGCTGTCTTTAGAAGAGCATATGACGGCCGTGGCCAGGGGGCTTTTTATCAGGTTCGCCTGATACGCCAGTTGCGCCCCTTTCTGAGTCGGGATTCCTTATGCACAGTCACTCACGCTCTCGTCACTTCTCACCTGGACTACGCTAACGGTCTCTACATGGGGCTCCCCTTGAGGAGCACCCGGAGGCTCCAGCTGGTCCAGAATGCGGCCGCGCGGGTGATCACGGGAGCGACATGGCGCTCCCATATAACACCTCTCCTGCACAAGCTGCACTGGCTCCCGGTGGCCTTCCGGGTACGCTTCAAGGTGTTGGTTCTCACCTTTAAAGCGCTCCATGGCTTAGGGCCAGGGTATTTATGAGACCGCCTTCTGCTACCGATAACCTCCCACTGGCCAATACGTTCTCACAGAGAGGGCCTCCTCAGAGTGCCGTCAGTCAAGCAATGTCGGCCGGAGGCCCCCAGGGGGAGAGCCTTCTCTGTGGGAGCACTCGCCCTCTGGAACGAGCTACCTCCCGGAATACGGCTGATTCCGGATCTCGGTACTTTCCGTAAAGCCCTGAAGACATTTTTATTTCAGCAAGCCGGCCTGGCCTGAATAGGTTTTATGGGTTAGTTTTTTAATTGTATTGCTAGGGGTTTTAAATTGGGGCGGCCGTTTAATTTAATTTATTTTTAATTATTTTAACTTTTATATTGTATGTTATTTTAATTTTCGGCTGTTCACCGCCCTGAGTCCCTTCGGGGAGAAGGGTGGGATATAAATTTACTAAATAAAAATAAATAAAAATTAAAAAAAAATTATACAGATATAATACAGCAATAGGAAAAGTCTAATAAAGAGCTATTAATACTACTGTGTGACCTTCTGCTATTATACATTAATCCAAACTTTATGGTCTTAACACAATTCCTAATAGCTTTATAAAAGAAAGGACAACTTTCAGAGTGCAATACTTTTAATGGATTCTTTGAAGAAGAGATTGAATTAGTTCAAAATGAATTTGAATACGCTAAAAATATGATACACACAAAACCCTTTGTAACAACTCAGAAGTAAAAGTAATTACCAACTTTGAAAGCTAATTGGGTTTCTATCCATTATATCATTTTGGCTTATTATAATTTGACACCTCAATATAATACAAAACTTGCACATAAAGCCAGTATAATGCATGCAACATTTAAAGATCTGCACAAATCATTTGAAAGTAAATAAGAGTGTTCATTCTTAAGATAATTCAGTGCTCATTGTAAATACTTTTTTCCCAGTTGAACAATTCCTACAAGTTGTAACTGCAGCTTAATAAAGCCATTTTTGAAAGAGAGAGGTAGGAGTAAGCCTCCAGAAAGAGAGCTTCACAGTGTTTTGCCATGTTGCCATCAGTTTTTTAAAACTCTGAAGAACGTGTAACAATAACAGATCTTTGCAGCAGCTTTTCTGGTTTTTCAACACAAGCATCAGTGATCCGAAGTAATCACCTCTGCTTTCTATGGGGTGACTGGGAAAGGAAGATCCGATTCAACCAGGCAAACACACACACACACACACACACAGAGAGAGAGAGAGAGAGAGAGAGAGAGAGGTTTCTTACCATAATAAATCTCGTCTGCGGAGGATGGTTCCTCATTGGAAAAGGATCAGGCTGCTAATTGTCTTCTGTTTTTCGGGCTGGAGGAGCAGCCAAACTGCGGAGCCTTGGTTCTCACCTCTCCCCAATCTTCACATCGCCTTAACACTCCTTCGCAAGGAACGGCAGATGCGTGCGCGTTGTGAGAGCCTTCCACCCTCATGTATTATGCACACATAATCCTTTCCACTGGTACGCGCGCTGAGGGGGGGGAAAAAAAACTCGAAAGAAAAACCACGCATACACAACACGCTCCCATCTCCACAGCACGGAGGGAACAGAGGAATTTCAGAGCAAGCCAACCAACCTTACGCCTGTTCCCCTCAGAAGCTCCGCTTCGCCCTTCGCGACGCGGACCCCCAGGCTTTTCCCAGGGAAGCCCACGCAAAAGGAACATAAACACCTTCAATCCGCCGCAGGGTTACGGCTCCCTTTTCCCACCAAAAAGGGAGCAACAAGCCTCACAACTAAGAGGCGGGCCCCGGTCCTTCGCCTCTTCCGCCCAGACCTCCCCCACCCCCACCCCACACACACACTTGCCACCTTCTTTCTCCATTGTACACCGTTCAAGGAGAGCCACCCCTCCCTCCCTCTCTCCCCGCCGCCGCCGCCGCCTTTTCCCTTCCCCTCTCCATCCCCGCCGCGGCCGCTGCCTCCCCCACCTTTTGGCCACGGCGCGCTCGGAGAAGCGACTCTTACCTTGGAGGAGCCACTGAGGCCGACTCCGGCCTTGCCCTTCTCTCGCCGGGGCGGGGAGGTGCAGGTGCCTCTCAGGCTCGGGGGCAGCAGGAACCGGGAAAAGGAAGGAGGGAAGGTGGCGCTGCCGCCGCTGCTGCTGCTGCTGCGGCGGTTACGGGGGAGGGTGGGAAAAAGAGGGAAGGGGAGGAGTCTGCGCTGCCCCTGGCCGGCGCGAGGAGGCAGCGAGGGCGAGGGAAGGCTTTCGGGACCGAGTCCCGGGGACTGAGAGCGACTGGACTGTCGTCCTTCTGGTCGCCTCTCCTCCGTCCCTCTGAGGGGGAAAAAAACGAGCCCCGCGAATCCTTGTCCGGGAGGTTTTGATTCAGCAAGCAGCCGGCTTACGGAACTCTTTTCCGGGACTGGCTGCGGCGATTTGATGCAACGGAGTTTCCTCGCTGGCTCCTCTCGCCCCGCCTCACGAACCACAGGAACCGTAGCTATCCGGGCCGCAGGCCTGAAGTGGAGGGGCGGAGCCTCCTGGAAAGGGGTGGAGCCGCGCCCACGAGCGAGCCGACCATGAGGACTGTTTTTTTTTTTAAACGGATTCAATCGGGGAAGTGGGCGGAGCTAAGAGCGGTGATGACTCACGCCGAGGGGAAAAGAGGGAGGAGCCTCGGGAACGTGTGGGGACGGAGGGAGGCTGGTGAGAAAACGCGCCACGGGAGAACTAAGTCTCTGGTTTGAGGTTTGGAGAGCCCGCCTTCCTCTTTGGTTTGAAAGACAACTTTTCTGTCCAATCAACAAGAAGAGGCGTGCTGAGCGAAAAGGGGGAAGGTTTCCGTCTTTTGCAAGGGATGTTTTTTTTACCTGGCCGGAAGAAAAACGGACCTGTGGGACGGTGGTTTCCTTTCTCTTTTTTTACCCGAGTAATGATTGGCTTGGAGGCATGGTTGGCACAGGTCTGTCCTGTGTTTACCCGAAAGGGGTAACCTGACAAAGGATTACAGTTGTATAAGGCATTCCTGGTTGCGTTGACTGCAAAAATCACATCCTCTGATTAAATGGAGTTTACTCCGAAGTGAGCGGACGGAGGATTGTATCTGATGGGGCACAATGGCTTTTTCTGTAGCCTCTTAGTCTTCCCAGTGGAAAGGGGATTTGCCAGGTAAGCTCTCTTCAGAAGGATTGTTGCTTTCCCCAGCGATAAGTGCTAAACTGCTTTAGTCATTAGTAATTCTGGACATATTACGGCTTTTTTGTTTTTTGTATCTTGAACAAGGACAATTTAAACCTAGGATATTCCATTAATCAAGGCCAGAGTTTGATGTATTTGTTAATCAAAACAGGATTAAAATGTTTCTATAATAGCAAGATAGGAAATTAAATAAGTGCAACCATATACTTGATGGGTCCATACTGGATGAATATAGGATTAGGATTGCAGCTAAAGTGCACCATGTGACTGTGGATACATAACTGGGGTGGATGGATTCTTCAGTCATAGGATTGCAAAAAGGAGAGGAGAAAGCAGCTCAGACAGTATCTTTTCTTGCTTATTTATCAGACCTGAAGTACATTCTCTACTACCAAAAGACTGTAAATGAAACAGGTTATTTGAACCTTCAAGAAACATTCGACAACTGTAAAAGCTGAGCTGAAAATGCTTAAAAGAGAATCACTGAGCAATTATTTTGTGCTGTGTTCTTACTACTGTTGTGAAAATAAGTTTTAAAAGCCAAACTCATTCTTTTGTGCTGCTGCCAGAACTTGCTTTCCAACTAGTGGTCAAATAAAAGCCATGATTTCTTCAACTGTTTCTATTTTTATTGTAATTGATAAAAATATGGGAATCTTGGATACTTGGATTCACATACTGCCAGGAGGACTCTTTAAATTTTTTTGTCAGAACGTTGTGAAAATTCAGCCAATTGTGATTTATTTTTAAAAAGTGGGACTTCGCCTGCTATAGGTTTTATGGTTGCTCTTTTATAAATCAGACTTTAATTATGTTTGTTTCTATGTCATGTGCCATAATAGTGTATTATATTTTATAGTTACCCTGTTTCCCCCAAAATAAGACATCCCCTCATAATAAGCCCAATCGGGCTTTTGAGCACATGGCAATAAGGCCAAGTGCTTATTTCAGGATTCAAAAAAATGTAAGACAGGGTCTTATTTGGGGAAAACATGATAGTTGTAAGTGTTCCAGAGTCATTGAGTGAGTTGAGAGGCTATATAAACGTGTTTAATAATAGTAGTTTTAAAGCAAACATGAGATAAAATATATGCATTTAAACAGAAAATTGTCTTCTGATAGCTAATTACTGAACACCATGGAACAAGACAGCACCTTCACCCAAAAACCATTTCCATCCATCCCAGCTAAGAATCTACATCTGGACCTCTCTATGGGAAAGTAGTAAGAATGGATTTATGTCTCTTTGTGAGATTGATCTCCAGGATTCTTGAAAAACCGGTTGGGTGACTTTGGGCTAGCCCAGGAGTGGAGTGTCAAACTCACGATGACATGTCATCACATGACATATCACAACTTTTTCCCCCTTTGCTAAAATGGCTATTGCATGACACGTTTGGCCCGCAGGCCACATGTATGACACCCCTGGGCTAGACTCAACCCAACTCCATAGGATTGTTATGGGAAAAATGCTTTGAGTTGTATATGAATAAGGATAAAAGAAAACCCGGTTAATTGCCTCAATTAACTTTTGAGAACATATTTCAATTATTTCAAATCACTGTTGTGGTTTGACTCCCTAAATTCCACAAGAAGTGTGGTCTTTAGAATTCGGTTTATGATAATAGGTGAGATATATTTTTATATAGGTAATAGGTAGGAATACACACACACACCTAATTTCTGGCTTTATTTTAGGAAGTTCCTTTTTTTACTAAATTGTGCCTCAAATTGCCCATTATGACATACAGAGTATTGGACTACATGGTTATTTTTTTAATCCTGATCATCAAGACTATTTTTAACAATGTTATTGGTAACACTATGAAGTTTAGACAGAATAGCCTATTGATATTTAGAAACAGTTCTGTGATTATTGGAAAAAATCAGAGCAATTATTCAGCAGGTGAAATTGACCTGATCTAAATTGGATATAACCAGTATCAGTTTTCTTTTTTTCATATCAAAGTCGTGTCTGCTGAAGACAATAATTTTGTAAAAAACATTATAAATACCGTAATAGTTACATTTTATTGCAACGCCATTGATTGCAACATATGCATTCACTTGCAACTGGCCTTATGAATTCTCTACATAAAGCTCCTATCCTTTGATGTAAGGAATTGGTTAATGTAGGGAATGGTTCCCATTCTATTTTGGACCTTCCCATTGATTGTTGGATTTGGCCATTGTCTGAAAAGAACCATGTAGCTGCCGTGTCCCTTGATTCAGCTTAACATTTGATGTTTTTCTTATTTGTTAACTGCTTGATAAAGAAAAGAATAGTGAACTCTGGAATACTGTATGTATGGACTGGATTCCTGGTATAACCACTGATACTGCATATCAAATGATGCCTTAAATTGTGAAACTGCTGTTGTTCAGTGCCATGATTGGTGCATTCAACCAGAATTATCTTAGATCTCCTGATTGTAGCACTGAGTGTTAGTATGTTATGTACTACTTCTTTGTTTTCTGTTTTGCAGATTAAAACACATAGACGTTAGAAAATTATATTAGCATTACCCTGGAACAACAATTGTTGGTGTAATATGAAACAGGCCTCTAAACATCTAAACATGGGTAATTAAGCATATTGTATAGATGAAAAAGATAGCCAAGCTCATTCCTTTTAAATCCCTTTGCTTAATGTAAATCTAAGATTCAAAATGTACCTTTTATGTTTATTTTTAAAATAAGCCGTGTTTTGTTCTAGTTTTTTAAAAAAGTTCATTTTGTTTAGTTTTTGTCCCCAAGTAGCAAAGATAATCAAGAGTAGAAAAAAATAGGATTTTTTTTTAAAAAAAAATCTTCCATAGAAATTCTATTTATTTTATGGCATTTTTGAGAGCTTTACTGCTATAAAAATATGTTATTTTTATTAAAAAATAAAAAATTTCCATGGAAATTCTATTTACTTTATGGCATTTTTGAGAGCTTTTATCACTATAAAATATGTTGTTTTTATTCAAAATAAATTCAAAATATATTGCACCTGCATTTTTGTTGAATTATTGTTTTGTAATGTGTGTTTTAAACAGTCAATATTTAGCATGCAGTTCTGTTCGTTCCTGATTCTGCTGTTTTATCACGTTTTTAGCTTTGAGCTTTTTAGCTTAGAATATCCAAAGTTTTATTGAATTATGTCACTCAGACAAACAAAACTTAAATCATTAAGGAGGTCCTCCTTCTAAATAGTAAAATGGCAGATTCAGTCAGATACTAACTAGATTTTAACACAGCATTTTAATTCACATTCAGTTTGTGCCCCAGAGGTTGATTCAGTTTATATATAATTGGAGTTAAATATTCTGTAGTGATAACCTATCTTGAATGTAACAGGACATCATTTTTTGTATAATTCAAGGCGTGTGCAAGTATTAAAACATAGTTTAATTAATGAAATTCATTTGGCTTCCTAGAGAGGAGAAATGCCTCTTATGTCTTCCTCTTTGCTTTATTCAGTGGCTGCCACTGATATTGTATGTAATCAACTAGTAGGAGCCAAATGGGTGACTGAATTGAAAGAGAGAGTGGTTCTGAACAGTTTATATGGCAAAACAAAGATGAAGAGGAAAAACGTAAAGATAAGCAAACAGAGGTCAGTGCCAAAGTGATCAGAAGCATCAAAGGCCAGGACCAATTCAAGAAAGAAAGAAGAAAGATAGGTTTTACATTTGCTGAAAGTAATTAAAACTATTCTGTTGGCTTTGTTGCTAGCTAAATGTTACTTCAAAATCCCATCATGAATCTTCATGGTGTCTCTCATATCAAAATATACTTTTTAAAAACTTCATTTCCATGTCAATTTCAGTTTATTATTTCACATGCTCACAAGCTCTGGAACCAACCTATTTGTTGAAGATGATTAGGAAATGGCCACCATCCAGTATGCTGTTAAGCACATTAACTCCCATTGTGTTCTTTTTATTTCAAAGGAACGTAAGCATCCTTAATTGTACATTGGATTGTTGCCTCTTCCTGGGCCCTGTTCAAAAAATGTAATAAACATTTTACTCACAATCTGCACAGACTATAAAATGAAGAGCAACTAGAGATCTTGGTTTGCATAGTCTTCAGTCAACTCCATTTCTTTAGATAAATAATGCATGCTAAATCCTGAGATCAAAATTAAATTATGATGCTATGAACAGAGCTTGAATCATCAATTTGAATCAGTGCAAGTGTTACAGTGAAATACACTATTTGCATCATGGCAATCTGTAGGAGTCGTACAGTAGCCTAGAGATGGAACTCCCACCTCATAATCAGGGTTCGATCCTGGGTAGAGGCAGATATTCCTCTCTCTGAGCACACTGAGAATATATCTGCTGAACAAAACTCTGCATTGGTGACAGGAAGGACATCCAGCCATTAAAACACTCTGCTGGCTCCCTTCAGTTGCCCAGACTCTACCCTGCAAGGGATTATGTGGTTGTTAAATGAATATTATGATGATGATCATGATAATCTGTATGTGGCTAGTATTTCCTTCTCTGTGCAATATTTTGGCTATCATTAAAATAAGTACTTGGGATCTTTAACTATCTCCAAACAAATGACTTTGCCACATTTCAATTTAATACCAGTTGACTTCATGGTAGAGGCAACAGGAATGAATGTTGACAAGCAATTCCCAAAGAGATGATATTTTCTTTGCATCAATAGCAGACATCTGGTTTTTCATTGTTGTTTGGTAACCTTCATAGTAAAATGTCTCTTAAACCAGCGGGCCCCAACCTTGGCATCTTGGAGGACCAGCGGGGGGGAGGGAACCAGGCTGCCTGAGCGGTGGCCAACATGCATATGCCCACTCACAGCTCGACTTGCACAAGCGGCGGGCCAGGTCTGTTTCTTTTTGTTGTCTTGTTATCTTGTTGTATTTTACTCCTTTGATTTTATCTGTCATGTATCTGTGTGTGTGTGTGTGTATACATAAATATACATTTTTAAATATTTTTTTAACTTGT